AATGTAAAACTCTACTTATTTAATAATATTACCTGAAATTTTCATTCGAAACTTTTGAAATTTAGCAGCATCTTATCTTGCAAACATGTCTCCCAATGATTAATGACACTACCAAAGTGAGCTAATATTTTTATTGAATGATCTGTCAAATACTTTCATGAAAAGATGAGGATGAAGAGTTAACCTTCTCAGCCTGACTTTGCTCATCTACTTGTTGAGAGCACACAGAAGACTCACAGAATGCCTTATGATGGACCTTTACTTTCCTCCTTCATCTTTCGTTTATTTACAATAACATGCCTATAACTCCCACACACTCCCTCCTCAAAAAAAGTAAAAACCTACTTTAAAAACTGTCCAAAATCTTCACAAATGCTTTCACAGCCTGGCCATTTGCAGACTCCATGGCCATAGAGAGTGTGAGATGCCCCAGTCTCCTCATGTGACGAGCTGTAGCAAAAGAACACGACATCAGATTCATCTCAAAAAGCCATAATCGTTGCAGGCTGCTAGCGCCTGTCAGGTTACGATCAGTGACAAACAGGTCAAAACAGGTCAATTCAGCTCAGAGCAGTCAGAAAAATTTAATCGTTCTATTGAATAGTTCAACTGCCAAGGCTAGATGATGTTCCAATTAGAGGAGAAATAGAGCCAGAGATGACTGTTAATAAAGGATGAAAAACTAAGAGGACTGTATAATATCATATGCTAATCCTGACCTTAATGTATCAAATGACCTGAATGTAACATTTTACCTCTAAATAAAAAATATATATTCATATGTGGTCAAGTGAAAAAAATGCATTTTCAAGAAAATGATAGGATAGTTACAGCACGATTTTTAGAATGTTCTTTAAAAAGATGTGGACCTTTAGGATCATTTAAATTGATTCGTATTTATGCAGGAACCATATATATTTGTACAAGTTAAAAAAGTTAAATTAAAAATTCCACTTTGCAGCAATATTCACTAGCTAAATTGTTATACAATTATTAAAGACTTCTGATCATGAGTATTATATCAGATAGATCCTAGAGAAATCAACCAACTTCTGAAATATATAATCATCAAATTAATCGCAATTAAAACATCAGCATGAAAGCATTCAGAGGCACTCCATTTTATAATGACGCAAGCTAACCAGAAAAATTTTCCGTGTTACTCCAGCTAAGACCAAAAACATCACCAAATTATAGCATTCCATTTTAAACTGTACTGTAATTAATATTTTTTTGAAAAATGATTTATCACAAGAACTTGTTGCAACTAGGCAGATATTCATATTATGTTCCAGAACATTACCAATCCACTATACTTACATAGGAAGTTTACAGCTTTATATAATACGAGCCTAAGCCACTCTGTTAACAAATTCTACAGTAATGTTTCATCTCTTAAAAAGATATTTTTCATGTTGAGTAATATTTTGGCTTATATACTTTATGTAAAGTACTTTAAAGGATTTGATTAGATAGCTATATGCCTGGGTAAATGCAACCGAATGGACAAAAGTACATTGGTACTCTCTTTACAAAGGCACACAACTAAAATAAAACAGTAAGTTGAAAAATTATCTAATGTAATATACTCAATGTTAGTAACTGAGTCAAAAAATTATTTCTTCAGGAATTTTGGGTCAATTCATTCAGAAAGTTACCACTATAAGTTTATTTTTACAAATGTATAAATCCCATCATGCCACAACAATAAATAAGGCAAAACAGCTCTTTCATCTTCTGGTTTATTATGCCTGTGTTTGTAAACATATGCATACCCATTCTCTGATTTCTAAGCACATATCTGAAACATATATTAAAGGGATATGTATGTATCTTTAATAACTTGAAATTAAAGAACCGGCTCTTAGCTTGAAAAGTGGTAAAATGTTCTCACAGTAGTCAGATTAATGACATCTTAGTCATATAAAATGTATTTACACAATCATTCCAACTGCACTTATTAAAAAATAGATTTCTTCAGGCAAACTCCTTCACTGTACTCATCGAACAGCTGGCATTTGATCTTTATTTTGTAATAAAAATGAATATATAAGATAGATAACCTAAAGATTATTTAACTTGTTGTTTTACACATTTTGCCCCAAGTACACAGCCTTATTTTTTGTTTTATCAATGGTGAAAATAAAATGTGGCAACAGATGAATATGGAATGTATCTTATGAGATTTACCTGTCTCGCCTTGCATTTAGAACTGAAGACTGTCCATTCACTATGGAATGATGAGTTATTGGTGGTGATGCTTTGGAAGTGGTGGAGGAGGTAGTCGAGGAGGAGTTATTAGTAGTGAGGTCTAGCCCTCCATGTTTAATGCCATTGTCTTCCATGCTGTGAACTCCAGTCACTTCTTTCCATAACTGTTGGATCTCAGCAGGACTTAAGCCAGCTACAAAATGAAAGAAAGCCCCACTAATATAAAACAGTAAAGTTTATATAGTAAGTTCAGTGCTATTAATGAATTAATGCCAACAAAAATAGTGATGTTACAACACAATAAAAAAATCACTTTTACTCCATCTTTCTTTTTTTTTTAAATAATATTTTATTGTATTTTCAGTGAAGATTTACACAGCAGTTTAGGTTCCCATTCAACAATTTCTACACAAGTTGTTCAGTGACAGTGGTTATATTCTTCACAGTGCATGAACATTCTCATTAGTTCTGTTCTAGTTGTTCCATTTCCATTAATCTAGTTTCCCTGCCCCCTTATACTTTCATCTTTGTTTTAAAAGTAATTGTTGACCATTTAGTCACACATAGGTGATTTTTTTAAAGTAACACAGTACTTATGGTTGATATTCATTATTTTTTGAGCCCATTTATTATTTAGCTACAAGGTGATCTCAGGTCTTAGTTTTGGTTCAAGGTTTGAAGAGGATCTCTATAGTCTCAGGGAGTCCTCCAGTCTCAACCAGTCCAGTAGGTCTGGTTTTTTTTTTTTTCTTTTTTTTAGGAATTTGAGGTTCTGGTCCACATTTTTCTCCCATTTTATCAGGGTCTATCTATTGTATCCCTGATTAGAATTGTTGGTAGTGGTAGCTGGGCACCATCTAGTTCTTCTGGTTTTAGGACAGATGAGGCCACGGTTTCTGTAGACTGTCCTGTAGACTAGTTTCTTCTTTGAATCTTTGATTTCCTTTTTTCTCTTTTGCTCCAGGCAAGTAGAGATCAATAGTTGTAACTCAGATGGCTTCTCGCAAGATTTTAAGACCTCAGACACTACTCAACAAACTACCATGCAGAACATAACTTTATGAATTATCATTATGCCAACTGACTGAGATATCCCACAAGACCATGGACCTCATCCTTCAAACCCAGAAATCCTATCCTGCTAGGTGTTTGGTAATGTCTGAGAACCTTAGCTTTTGTTTTGAACAATTAGTTATTTGCTAAAGACTACCAGTTTAGGAATAGTATCAAGAATAATAGCATTGGAAATAATATTAAGGATTAATAGAAGGAAAAAAAAAGAAAGTTTTATTTAAAACTAAGCTATTCAGCTTTTAACAGTAGCTTTTACTTACTGCTCATATTAAGTTTTTATTAGAAAGAACTGAAAGAGAAACAGATCTAAGAAATATTGCAAAGCAAAATAATTTTTTAAAAAGAAAAGGAAAATGAAGATGTCAGGAAAAAATAGTAAATAGTCAACTCAAAAATAAAATGACATTTGAAAATTATCTAATTATTTTGATCTCAGGAGGTAAACTGAATAATTGAGTCTTATTTTGGGGTCCTGAATAACCCAACATGCTTACCTACATGGATCGATTACAGATAATACCCAAACCTCTTCTTTGTTTTATGACTGATTATAGAATAAATTGATTACTCATTTTAAACAGCTCTCTGGTTCAAATTCTGCAAATTTACCCAATTTATGTGAGAATGAAAATAGACAAACTAAGTATAATCCTTGTTTTTAAACTATAATTTTGAAATAAGGTGTTGAGAGAATATTGTTTATAGTATTTACAAAATGGTACTTATATGTGCCAAGTATGCCTTCATACATCCCTTATGCCATTTAATCCTCACTATAATCTAGGGAGTTGGTATTTTTATTTTATCCAATTTATGGATAAGGAAACAAAGGGAGAGAGAAGTTCAATAATATGTCCAAGGACACAAAGCTTATACGTGGTAAAGATGTGATTTGAATTCGGGCTCTCTGACTCAAGTGCCTTTGCTCTTAAAACACTGTATTAAGAAATACTAATACTATATTAAGAAATAAAGATATGCAGAGGAAAATGAAGTTATAATTATAACTGCTATAATTTATTGAGCATTTATTATATTGAGTGCTTTACTAGGTGCTTTACATTCATAATCTCAGTTAACATCACTTGAGGTTGTTGTTATTAGGTGCCGTCGAGTTGGTTCTGACTCATAGTGACCCTGTGTACAACAGAACAAAACACTGCCCGGTCCTGCACTGTCCTCACAATCGTCATGCTTAAACCTATTGTTGCAGCCACCGTGTCAATCCATCTCATTGAGGGTCTTCCTCTTTTTCACTGACCCTCTGCTTTACCAAGCATGATGTCCTTTCCAGGGAGTAAGCCCTCCTCATAACATGTTCAAAGTATGTGAGACATAGTCTTGCCATCCTTGCTTCCAAGGAGCACTTTGGTCGTACTTCTTCCAAGACAGATCCGTTTGTTCTTTTGGCAGTCCACAGTATATTCAACATTCTTCTCCAATACCACAATTCAAAGGCATCAATTCTTCTTTGGTCTTCCTTATTCATTGTCCAGCTTTCACATGCACACGAGGTGACTGAGAACACCATGGCTAGGGTCAGGCAAACCTCAGTCCTCAAGGTGACATCTTTCCTTTTCAACACTTTAAGGAGGTCTTTTGCAGCAGATTTGCCCACTGCAATGCATCCTTTGATTTCTCGACTGCTGCTTCCGTGAGTGTTGATTGTGGGTCCAAGTAAAATGAAATCCTTGACAACTTCAGTCTATTCTCCATTTATCATGATGCTACTTATTGTTTCAGTTGTGAGGATGTTTGTTTTCTTTATGTTGAGGAGAAATTGATACTGAAGGCTCTGGTCTTTGATCTTCATCAGTAAGTGCTTCAAGTCCTCTTCACTTTCAGCAAGCAAGGTTGTGTCATCTGCATATCACAGATTGTTAATGAGTCTTCCTCCAATCCTGATGCTGCATTCATGGGACAGCTTCTCGAATTATTTGCTCAGCATACAGATTGAATAGGTATGGTGAAAGGATACAACCCTGATGTACACCTTTCCCGAGATTAGGAATCATATTTTACAGATGAGGACACTGATTTCAGAAAGATTAAATATATTGCCCAAAATCACATAGCTAAAAACTAATTGACAGAATTTGCTCCGATCACCCTGTGGCTCCAAAATCTATTCTCTTTATTATCACGATCATTTAATACACGTAATATAAGGATGGAAGTGTTACTCAAACACCCCCCACACCTGGCCCCAACACACATCTACATCAGATACTGTAGTGACATTGTTTAATCGAGAGGCAATGGAGGGTGGGGTAGGATGGGAGAGGTAGAGGATGAAGGGGTAAGAGAATAGAATATGATGGTGAAGAAAGTGAGCCCTATCACCCCTCCCCTGCAAGTGGAAAAATCACTGATCTAGACGTCATAGTAAGCAGCCCACAACAAGAGAAGAATCCACACTGTTTCAAACATATGATCTGGTTAAATTATTCATCACAGAGGAAACCTTAAACTGTTATACCTACCACAATTTCATAGAAATAGTTGTACTGAAAGCTATCATTTTGGTAATTCTGGCTCCTCAAGATTTTAAGACACAGTCTGAGTCTAAAAAAAAGGCAGGATAATCGAGATTTCTAAAGTTATTTAAAAAATTTTTCCTATAAAAAGATGAGACTGGCTTATGTATTTTCTCTTTTACATAGGAAACAACTCTTACGTTGTTGTTGTTAGGTGCCATGGAGTCCATTCCGACTCATAGCGACCCTACGTACAGCAGAACGAAGCACTGCCAGGTCCTGCACCATCCTCACAACGGTTATTATGCCTGAGCCCACTGCTGCAACCACTGTGTCAGTTCATCTCGTTGAGGGTTTTTCTCTTTTTGCTGACCCTCTACTGTACCAAGCATGATGTCCTTCTCCAGGAACTGGTCCCTCCTGATAACATGTTCAAAGTACGTAAGATGAAGTCTCACCATCCTTACTATTAAGGAGCATTCTGGCTGTACTTCTTCCAAGACAAATTTGTTTGTTCTTCTAGCAGTCCATGGTATATTCAATATTCTTTGCCAACGCCATAATTTAAAGACATGGATTCTTCTTTGATGTTCTTTGTTCATTGTCCAGCTTTCTCATGCATATGAGGCAAGTGAAAATACCATGGCTTGGGTCAGACACAATTTACCTCTTAGTGATATTTTTGCTTTTTAACACTTTAAAGAGGTCTTTTGCAGCAGATTTGCCCAATGCAATAGTCATTTGATTTCTTGACTGCTGTTTTCATGGGCATTGATTGTGGAGCCAAGTAAAATGAAATCCCTGACAACTTCAATACTTTCTTCATTAATCATGATGTTGCTTATTGTTCTTTTTTTTCTTCTTTTTTTCTTGATGTTAAGGTGTAATCCATAGTGAAGGCTGTAGTCTTCGATGTTCATCACTAAGCGCTTCAAGTCAAGTTTTTATATAAGGATCGTTAGTTATTGCTTTCATTCCAGCTTTATCCTAGAATTCTGAAACTTTTCTGACTGTACCTTTTTGAATACCTGTCTGTATACATTAGGTGTTCTAACAGCAAAACTCCATCACCAAATCCTTTTTTGTAAAAGATCAACATATCTTACATATCAGACCTATCACCATCTCACTTGCTGCCTCTGCTATACCGTCAGTTCTTGCCTGGACCACTGCTATTGTCTCCTGACTGTCTTCCTACTTCCACCTTGCCATCATATAATTTACCCTTCGTATAGCAGCCAAAAATTATTTCTTTAAATGTAAATTAGGTCACGTCACTTCCCAGGCAAAGCCTCCAATGGCTTTCCAGAACACTTAGGAAAAAATCGAACAAGAAAAACAAAAACAAAACAACCTTACTGTGATGTATGAAGCGCTGCATTTATTACCTGGCTCTTCCTGCCTCTCTGATGTCATCTTCTATCACTCCCTTTCTCTCTCCCTTGACATTTCATTCTGCTATACTAGCTTTCTCCTACTTCTCAAATGCATCAAACATTTCTTCCTTTTCCAGCCTTTGTTCTGTCTGTTCCCACAGCTTAGGCCACTCTTGCTGCAGATCTTTGCAGGGCTTACTCCCTCCCTTCACTAAGATGATTTAAAGATCACCTCTTCTGAGAGGGCTTTTACCACACTATCTACT